CCTTATTCTATCCCCTTATTCTATCCCCTTATTCTAACCCCTTAATCTATCCCCTTATTCTCAGCAGTGGGCAACAAATCGATCGGTGAGACAAATGCTCATTTCCAGCGGAAAAATGCCCTCCACGTCAAAAATGAATTTTTTTCCATTCTGTTCATATAGGACGACCGTCATATACATATATGCGTATGCGTCCATATTTCATTCTTCCATGAAAAGGCAACAGAAAAATGACTTCAACTTATAGGAATAATGCTCGAACAGGAACGAAAAATGTCTCTGATGTATATGTTTATATACATATTTTTAGTAGCAAGGAAAAATGAAAAGATAGCAGAAAAATGCTTTACTACAGGAGAAATATGATTTACTAGAAAGGAAAAATGATTTCAACTAATAGGAATAATGCTCGAATAGGAACGAAAAATGTCTGTCATATATATATCTATATATATTTTTTTAATGCGGGGAAAAATGAAAAGACAGCGGAAAAATGCTTTACTACAGGCGAAAAATGATTTACTGCAAAGGAAAAATGATTCCAACTAATAGGAATAATGTTCGAACAGGAACGAAAAATGTCTGTCACATATATATCTATATACATATATTTTTAATGCAGGGAAAAATGAAAAGATAGCGGAAAAATGCTTTACTACAGGAGAAAAATGATTTACTGCAAAGGAAAAATGATTCCAACTAATAGGAATAATGTTCGAACAGGAACGAAAAATGTCTGTCATATATATATCTATATATTTTTTTTTTTTAATGCGGGGAAAAATGAAAAGACAGCGGAAAATGCTTTACTACAGGCGAAAAATGATTTACTGCAAAGGAAAAATGATTCCAACTAATAGGAATAATGCTCGAACAGGAATGAAAAATGTCTGTCACATATATATCTATATACATATATTTTCAATGCAGGGAAAAATGAAAAGACAGCGGAACAATGCTTTGCTACAAAGAAAAAATGATTTCAACTAATAGAAATAATGTCCGAACAGGAACGAAAAATGTCTGTTATATATATATCTATATACATATATTTTTAATGCTAGGAAACATGAAAAGACAGCGGAAAAATGCTTTACTGCAGGAGAAAAATGATTTCAACTAATAGGAATAATGCTCGAACAAGAACGAAAAATGTCTCTGATGTATATGTTTATATACATATTTTTAGTAGCAAGGAAGAATGAAGAGATAGCAGAAAAATGCTTTACTACAGAAGAAAAATGATTTACTAGAAAGGAAAAATGATTTCAACTAATAGGAATAATGTCCGAACAGGAACGAAAAATGTCTGTCATATATATATCTATATACATATATTATTAATGCAGAGAAAAATGAAAAGACAGCGGAAAAGTGCTTTACTATAGAGGAAAAATGATTTTGTATATATCAGAAGAACGTCAAAGAGAAAACGAATATGTCTCATCGAAAGATATGTTTAAAGTTTATTATAAAGTCAACTGTTTCAATAATCGGGGAGAGTAGGAAGTTGAACTTTTTGTTATACAGAATAGTTTGATTTTGTTGTTTTTCTTGTTGTTGTTTTTCTTATTGTTGTTTTTCTATTGTATAGTGAACAGCGATGAATGAACTTAAATTTGATTGGTGATTCAAAATTGTTTTTCTTTTTGATTGGTCGGTATTTGGAGGTTTTTGAATATTTTTCACATTAAAGAAACACGAGAGAGAAGAAAAAGAATATTTGTATTTCACATTCGAATTGACTTCTTATTTATTAAAAATGTTTGGTCGATTTCAATCGAATTTTTCTCTAGCTTGTCGGTTGAAAATTACTTCAAGCGTATGTTTTTCAATGGCTTTAGCTGAATATAGTGATCATCTGGCGTCTTTAAATCAAATGCACAATGAAGCTATGGTGATTGTGATACTGAATGTAGTGGCTGTAATGTGTGAAAACAGCAAAATTTATCGTGCAAACAAGTTTCCATTACCGATGAATTTATATAATTTGGTGGTAGCTAGATCTTGTAAGATATTTGTCATAAAAATCGTTTTAGCTGGAATTGTTTTTGTTCATTTAGCATATGGAAAATCACCAATACTTGATTTAGTGAGAAAATCCATTGATGAGGTAGTTCGTTATCGACCATCAAAATTTAAATCAGCTTCAAAAGATGGAGAAGAATTTGACCAGGTTGTATATTTTGATGAAAACACTGCAGCTGGATTATTAAGTAGTCTTAATGGCTGTACACGTTTTCTTATTACTGACGAGGCTGATGTTGTACTAAAGAAAATGGGTTATACTTTACCACCACCTGGGTCTCGTGATTGGTCAACTAATGACTGCAGAAGTCAATTATTAACCTTATATGATAGACCGCATAATTTTACGAGACGATTAAAGCGTGAAAGTATTCAAGTTTTTGACGCAAAATTAAATGTTTTGGTGAGTATTAAAATTACTGTTTGGTTTATATAATTTTTCATGCTTCACAGGGTGCAGTATCAGGTGATTTAATAATTGCTGCATTGATGCGCCAAGCATCCGGTTCCATGGCTGATGCGTTGTTTGAACGCACAATTATTTGGCCACTTGATGGTGAAGTAATACCTACTGCTTCTTGTGTTATGGATATTGATACCAGCAAATATATGTCAATTCAACAATTTGCTATTGTCGTTAGTTTTATTGAGAATATTGACTTATATTTTGATAAAGATGCTAATGAAAGAATGATTGTATGGTGTGATGATCTAAAGAAGAAAAGTAAGATTCTTTTAATTCTATAATGACACCGCACTGAGTTGATTTATCTGATTTCAATGAATTAATACATTTAGAGACTTGTAGCTCTACCTAAAAGGTATTAATCAGATCATATTTTGAAGAGAGTCTTTTGTTTTCCTTGGTTTTAACGAGAAAGATGCATTTATTGTAAAATTGCTGACATATTAAAATGTCTTGTGAAACAAGACTGTTGAATTAATGGATTACAAGTCAGATCAAAATTTTGAGATAGTCATTTTTTGTACAGTATGTATATTATTGATGTTGATACGCTTCTGTACATATTTGTATTACACTTCGCACAGACAATTAATTTATTTTTCGTATGACTCTTTTTAGTATGTTAGCTGTCAGTTGAATAAAGGATATTGATGATTATGAATATACTTATATGCTGCCGAGAAAAAAGCAGTGTTTTGTAAAATGCGTTTGTTATTTCTTATACTCAGCTTCATGCTTGAATCAAAAGTAAAGTGTTTTGTAAGAAATAGAATAGTTGGAAAACATAATTATAAAAAATGATAGAGCATAACTTCTCACTGTCACTGCTCTGCACATTGATGATGATCATACATATTAAAGATGTATTTAGACAGCAATTAAATTGACTGTGATATTGAGATTAACAATAAAGAATAAATAAATCATAATATTACTTGGTAGATGTTGAATTGGCAGAGACAATGAATATAGGAAGAAAAAACTTCAAAATTTAATAATCACGTTCTTGCATGTAAAGCATTTTTGCTATGAATTATGCGTTTTATTTTGTTTCGAGAGGAATAACGTTTTTTTTACATACTATAGTTTAAGTGAAGAGACTACAAACATATTCATCAACAATAAAAAAAGATAATTAGAAAGGATAATTGTAGTTGAAAGAACTAAAAAATAACTTCTCGAAAACTATAGAAGAAGACTTTCTTAGAATTTGCGAACGATAAGACAAATTAAATAACTTTGAATATAATAATATTTCGAGTCGTATACTAGGAATAATTAGTTTAAAATAGACAACAGACTTATGGGAAATCTTTTAATTATATCTAATATACCATTATGATTAAAATAATTGCAATTTTGTTTTTGAAGGTGCTGCAGAAAAAAACAACGATCATATGGCAGCTCGTTTGGGTAAAAGTGTGCAAAATTGTCATCGAATTGTTGGTTTTTTGTATATTGTTGAATTAGCCTATTCAATTGGTCTCAAATATCTTGAAAAATATGATCATTTTCCAAATAATGGCAAAATTACAATTGAATTTGTTGATCATATACAAACTTTATTTGCTGAATACCTTATTGATGAAAATAATCAATTCATTCAACATTATATTACATTTGATATGGTGGAACGATGTCGAGATGTTATAACAGGAAACATTGAACAATACAAATTATTAATGTATTTAACACCGGAAGAACGATTTACAGAAGTAAAACAATCATCGTCAGCATTAACATCTTTAAAACGTGAACAAGATAGCGAAAAGCTATCAAAAAAACAAAAACGTATTATTCGATTACAGCCACGTATGACCGAGATTATGGCACGGGTGCTTCGTTTTCGATCCATTATCTTCACATCATCTAATCTTTATACCGATGGAGTTATAAAACGATCGGCTAGCATTCTTGGTTCAGCATTAGCTAAATTGATTGAATTAGATCTTCTGCTTATAGTGAAAAAAGGATTTTTTAGTTCTAAATGGACGGCTGTTTATGTAAAAAGATTACCTGATCCATTTTCAACAGATGATCAAATGGAATTTGAATGCAAATTAGGTGAATTTGGTATATCTGGTCTTAATCTACAAAGTTTTCGTGAAACCTGTTATGAACTTCTTATTGATGGAAAGGGAAAAGTATCAGATGATCTTATTAATGAATTACAACGACCTGAATATAAGGAACTCAATTTGGACATGAGCATTCTTATTGAACGTTCTAGTAAGTACATTATACTTCATCTAGAATATCTACGTTTACTTAATAGAAAATTATCAATCTGTCGACAATGAAGAAGATACCTGTTCGTCCAATGTACCAATAAGTATGTTTTATAAGATTGATATAAATCAGAAGTCTCTCTTGATCATATAGAAGTTCCTACTTAGGCGACTAGAAGAATTCAGTAGAAAACCTGTAATACCATGAATATATGGAATTTTCTTGTGCTTTTGAAACAAGAATCTGCACAGTGCATACTGTAATTGATTGATATAAGTGTTTTCAAGATTAGAAAAATCATTTTTGAAAACTTTCTATAGTTTCTCAATTAATTCGCTACTAATATTTATGAAGAAAAGATTGAAATAAAATCATGTACATAAGAAAGTGAATAAGAGTAGAGATATCTGGAAATTCGAAGACTAAAACAGTAGTTGTCTTGGCTATTTATATAGAAAGAAGAAAACAAATTTGATAAATCTGAATTAAGTAAATGAACAAGAAATTCGAATCATAGAAGTCTAAATGTCAGATGAAATTCTAAAAAGTTATTAATCTTAATTTTTCTGTTAAGTTACGCAATTGATAAATGAATAGATGATAGTTCATAATCGTCTATTAGATTGAAAGAGGCAAAGACATTCAGCTCTCATATTGTATAAGCGTATCAATTAAATATTGTGATGATTATTATACTTTAGCAGCAACAACTGTTCAATCTGTTACAGTAACACAAGATAGTTCTTGCGACATTGATACAATCTGGCCGGTTGGAAATGATTTTTGTGAGAAAATATCTCAAAGTGATGGTGAGTGATAGACCTTCTCGTTAATGGTTTCTTTAAAATGTTTCTCGTTCAGAACATTCTCAATTAGACTTGTACAATATATTTGATAATAATATGACTCATTTATCTGATGGTAAGTGGTATTGGTTATAATGAACTGTTTAAAAAATATTTCTTGCCTAGAAAATTCTCAATTAGCCTCAAATAATACTTTTCATGATACTGAAAATCAAACTGAAAGTAAGTTTTTCCCTGTTATATGACAATAATATAGAATTGCACGTTTATGGATCATGTTGCAGTGATTGATACTCTCAAAGAAAGCTCCGTATTTAATTGTAATAATACTGGCAACACGATGATGGACAGTCAGAGTGCAATGATGGAAGATGATGATGCAACTACAGTTGTTGTTAAACCAATGGATGGCATAAAAGAATCAAAGGAGAGTGCTTACGAAAATGAACAAAAAGTTAGTGCTAATAAAAAGTATCATGTGATCTTCAAGCCAAACATTAGTCCAATTTCGCATCGATTACGAAGTAAAAACTAACTTCCAAAAAACATCTGTTAGAATATGATACATAGGTTTTTTAAAGATTTTCTGTTGTTTTGTTGTAGCATTAATAAAAACTGACTTACATATCATTGTTACTGTTTTGTTCTTTTGTTTTCAGATGAATAATATGGAGCTATTTGATAGTGAAATTGATCTAGTTGTTGAAAACCCAATGAATATCGATCAATGTTTATGTGGTTTGAAAACTAACAACGAATATCATGAAAATGGGAATGTGGAAATTAAAGATCATATGGTACGTATATCGGAGAAGACGAAAAATATTCAATTATCATATTTTCCAAGTAGAATTTGACCGATAATAAAACAATGACAAAGAAGAATTTATCTTTAAATACATCAGTTTCAATGCAAGACTTAGGACATATCCACACGTGCGAATTGTCAATACTGCCATCAACATATTATGACAATGTCATGTCAGTACGAAATGTGAGCTATATTGTTACTGCTGCATTTTTTGGTTTTACTATGTCTGATCTGTCTGATTTGATTTTTGTTGGTAGGCTGATGAGCACGTATTGAATTCAACTGCGAATATACAATTCGCAAGTGATAGGCAATCCAACAACGATGTATCAATACTGAATTCAATGCATATGATGGAAATGGTGAGAGACATACACAAAGTATTCTATAAATAATAGTTTAAGCTCAGAATAGACAAACAGTATTTTTAGCAAATACATAGTAGTTAAAAATTGATTTTTAAAGAGGAAAAAAATAAAATATATGCATCATGCATTTAGAAAAACTCAAATAGAATCTATTCGTCACTGAATATCGTGAAAAATGGTCCACGAACATCTGTTGATGTCATTGAAGCTTTGACATGGTGGTACAAGTACTTTTTGCCACATGAACTGATATTTGTATTCTATCTTGATCGTTGTTGGTCAATTTATGATCGTGATCGTGATATTCATATAGCTAATTCATTGCGAAATAGCCTCGGAACAGAACATAGTAATGCAATAATTCAAAGTCTTTTGGCCTTTTTCCATTCCCGACCTGATATTCAGCTTCTTCAAAGCAAAATGATTGATGATTATTTATGTTCAAGCAGTACTTTTATACATCTAGTACCATTTACCAATATCTGTCCCTTATGTGAGCAAAAATTATCAGTAAATGATAGTCACAGTCGTCAGATTAAAGTTATCTGTGAACAAGGAAAAATATTGTTCGGTAAGTTGAAATGTTCTATATTAATTTGATTTGAAACTAACTTCGTTTTGTAGGGACCGTTTTTTGGCTTGAATGCCGACATTTTGGGCCACACAAAAGATCACCAACCTATTTCATCTTTCCGAATTTTATACGTGTGGAGGAAGAACATATTTATTTATACACATCTTTATACCATGGAAGATTCGTATATATGGGTGGTTATTATGCAGTTGCAAGATGTATCATCAGTAATTATTCATGTAACGTTGTGAGCAATCCAAGTTCCTGGTGGAAAACTTCTGATAGTCTGAATCTGGAAGCTTTTAATGAAGGTTTGGAGCAAGTACAACCCTTATATTGGAAACGATTAGCACAATCTCTATTTATGTACAAAGTGTTAGAATTCTACTTAACGATGGGTTGCTTAAAAGTTACGATTCCAATGTCATTGCGTGATTTTACTAGCTGGTCATGGGAAAATTATCCAAAAATGTTGTCTTGGTTTATATACTTGTGGTCTTCACATAAAGAGATCATAGGTCCTTGTAATGATAAATGTTCAGCTGCTGTGATTATTGACGGGCATCAAAAATGTCGTCGTAGAGTTTGTCGATACAAAGATGTCGAAGTTAAAACAGATGAATTTGAGAAGCTCGTGATCGGCTGTTGTCGAAGTCCCATGCCTCGATCTCATTACTGTTTTCTGCATCATGATCATCAGTTGCCGACAGAAACATCAAGTTCAATTTCGAATAGATATAGGTTTCAATTTAGAGGAAGAAATTTAGGAGATGAAAGCAGTCGGAAGAGACGACGAAAAGAAGGATTTGGAGCTACCGGTTGTCGGACGATCAAAGTACGGTCAGATGCATATGTCCGTCGTTGTTCACGTTCCTTTGGATTGATTGCATGTGTTACAAATTGTCGAGTATTCGTTTCATTTGGTGAAATTTTTCGAAGCGAAACGCTTCGTGAAATTCTTCATTTGTTTTTCTCAACTATTCGTGGTGAGTATGTCTAACTAGTTAAATAATTGTAAAGACGTTGTATTTTAGTGGCCGGTAAATTCTCACCTGCTGGATGTTATGATGACGGTTGTCATCTGATACAATACTTACATAGCCATATTGGAAAAGATCTAAAAGCAACTGATGCAGCACTGATCCTATCGAATGTTAAATTCAGTGTGGATAGGACACACTTTAAAAACCATATTGGAAAATGGTGTCTCGCTAACATGAATCCAGCTGATAATAGACGTAAGTTATCATTTGATCGCATCTTAAATACATTCAGAATTTATAGTACTTGATGGAGTGAATACACAAGCTGCTGAACAAAATTTCAGTTGGTTAAAGAAGTATTCTTCCATTATCAGTGCTCTAGGATGGCGCCGAGCACCAGTATTCCTTCTATTACTTTTTCACATGAAAAATCTAGCTCATTGTCATGTTCGACCTAATCGAGTATTTGATATAGTAAGTGACAATATGCTTGAAAAACTTATAGAACTGAATTTTTTTATTCAGGTTAACCAATGTCATGTAGTTCAAGATGTAAGTCTTCCACATAGCGAAAGGATTACACAAGTTCCTGAAACGAACTCATCATTAAATTTAAAATGTGCAAGTCATGCAAAAAGCAAAAAACAAACAGATAGTGGAAACAAAAACACAAACAACGTCTGCTTATTAGGACCAACAAATACTGATTGGACGTCACAGGTTGCAATGATCCGAAAAAATCATAATATTGTTGATAAACGTCGAGATAAAAAACTTAAAAGACTTTAAAATTTTTGACTATGATTGACATAATTAACTGCCACTACAGACGGTAGATTTATAAAAAAAATTTAAAAATTTCTATACCAATGAAATGATGTTAAATACACACAGATTTCTATTTATTTCATTGACTGAAACATTGTTTATCATTTTTCAGAAAATGTCGATGTCGAACGAGCAAATCTTTGATCGTTTACAAGAATTAGGATTGAATCCGCCTGCTATCAACGAAAACAATCGAATGTATGGACTTGCATTGGTATATAATGCAGAGATTGAAAACTGGATGGATGAAGAACAAATGGGATCATATGACCATAAAGTCGATGAAGATTTCTTTTACAAGGCTCAGCGACGTAAGATGAACTTAATATTATTTATGGTACAAATCCATGCTTTTTAGTTATTTCACCTAAACGTGTATATCAATTAAATTGGAACTATTATTTTCAAAATACCAAACAGGTAGCGGTAATGTTTCAATTCCATTAATATAGTTTTGCATTTAAGGATATTGAATCTGGTCTTCGTTATGCGATTACACAATGGGAAGGAGAACAAAATGATGTGATTGTCGAATTCAAACGTATGCGTTTGAGCGACAATCCCGATGAAGATGAACGTATACTTGAAATACAATTGATCATCGAATGTATTCTTGATTACGTATGTAAAACACAATGTAAATCAAATAGTATGTTACTCAATTGAAGATGCAACTCAATAATTTTCTTCAATACAATTTTCAGATCACGATGAAATTGATGATAAAGAACTTGCACGTTTAAGTGACATATTTGAAAAAGAGTACTATGGTTATGTTACTGATACTGAACTAGTTCAAGCAATGGATCGATTCTTGAACATATTCGATGCAACAACACCACTAGAGAACATTACCGACTTACACACTGCATCTGAAACAATAGAATCAACATCCACAGTTGAGCGGAATCAAGTGAACCAATGTCTAGATGATGATAGTGACGAATATTATTAATATCGAATTAAAAAGAAGCATCTCTATCCAAAACGTGATCTGTCACTATAGTTACTTCTTAACTATGAGAAAGATATTCTTTGACCATTTCGAATAACATATGCTCAGTATTAGATTATTTTCTTTCCAAAAGACAACGTAAATGAAACCAACAAGCACCAATCAACTAACTATAAAACCTAATACTCCCAAACACATGCACTAAAAAATTGAAACTATTCATAATCTAAAACACAGGAACCACATATGAGTCACCAAATAGTAATCGGTCCTACAGCACCAATAATAATCTCTTTCTTCATTCAACTAAAATTCGATTCACTCGAATAATCTTCCTCTGTATATTCACATTATTCTCATCGATTTTCACATTACCACTAGAAGATAAATAAATGTAAGATGAAATCAATTTTCCTCTTCTCGTGGTTATAATTCCATCATTCCTAACCATTTTTCCCATACAGAATAGCATTATTGTGATCGATGTTCACGTTTCTGCTGAGGACAAAATACATATAACAACATGATGAAATCATTCTTCCTCTTCTTATAGTAGTTATTCCATTATTCTCAATCATTTTTCGTATGAAAAAAAGCATTATTCTGATGGATTTTCATTTTTCCGCTAATA